ATAAAATATATATAACTATTTTATATATATATAAAATGTGACTCCCATACCAAAAAGGTCTGTGAGACTCCCATACCTAAAAGGTCTGCCAAGTTAGGATACAATATTTAAGTAATTACGCTGGCCAACACGCTCGCTCACAAGCTGCTGTGGAAAAGAAACGTGTTTGCCACCAAAAATCCACAGAGCTCAGGATTTATACCTTTTATTCGGGTTGCAGACTTCTTCTGTCTTAATTTCACCCACGTAGCCCGAGAGCTGAAGGGGTTTATCTGACGGGTTTTGAGGATGGCGTTGAGTGCGCAGCTTTGTGAGGTTTGCCGTGTGGAACAGGTCGTGGCCATTTCACAGAGGTGGGGCCAGAGAAAAGCCACGTTAGCGCAGGTTTTAAATGTTTAAATTCCTTTACTGAGGAGATAAAATGTTTAAATGTGCGAATGCCTTTACTGAGGCGAGTAACCTTTAAATTGTGTTTTTAAATTTTAGGATATTTCAAGAGATGTAAAACACTCAAATAAGAAATTCATTAAAATTGACAAGCCCCCTGTATGCCACAAATTACTTCAGAAAGGAAAGAGGTATAGATTAGTTTGCGAGCCAGAAGCTGAAATAACTCCAGAGGTAAGTCCCTTACACAACCCTCGTTGCAGCTTCGTTACAAACGTGGTACAAAATGGCTTTTCCTGTACGTTCCTACACTGGCATTAAGGGCGTCTTTCACGTTCATTTGCCATTGCTGCAGAAAGCTTTTGCCTCTTAAAACCCTAAAATTTTAGGATGAAATCCTGATGCTAAAGTCAACAGCAAAACTCTGGGGAGATTGGAGTTGGGCTCAGATCTGTGCCAACAGCCCAATACCTCCTCTTTAGTTTGTGTTTTGGATAAATATTTATTTTTAACGGATTTACGTTGTGTAGGAAATTGAATTTGTTGATGGATCTCTCCTGAAACTAAAAAGTTACATTGAAGTCTATCTGGAGAAACCCGACAACTTCACCTTGTCTTTGGTTGAGCTGGAGTCTGATGCGACCGTGTGGAAGGCAAAACTAAGAGAGAGTGAGTCTTTGGTCTTCCCACGACTAGTTTGTTTCTGCTGAGAAGATGCAGGCGTTGGGGTAGAAGTCAGCCCTTAGATGCACCTAAATTGCTGCTGTTAAAATCGCGACATTTGGAGCCGGAAGTGATAAAAAAGAAAGAGAAGAGCTCCGGGAGGTCGTGTAGTGGCGTAACCTGCGTGATCCCTCGTGAGCAAACAGGCGAAGGCGTCGGGGCTGCGGGGTGTGCGGGAGAACGCTCCGCTTTGGCTTGGCTTGCTGGGAACACAACGCCATCCCTGTTACATAGCCGAGGTGGCGTGCTGCAGCACGTTGGCTAAAAGGGGGGGGGAAAAAATAACCTCATCCTATAAAATCTTAGCTCAGCAGCCGGAATCCACCCACCAGCTTGGGTCTGTGCGCGAGAATGGCCGGGTGGAGGGCGCAGCAGCGGGGATTCCCGCCTCACCTTTCGTTTCCTCTGCAAACTGTTTCCCAGGTGACTGGATACATTACGACCAGAACAAAAACGAGCAGAAAAGAAGCGCAGTCAGTAAGTCCACCTGAGGATGAGGCGGGGTTGCTTCTTCTCCGCGTGTCTCGCTCGCTGTTGGAGCTCAGGGGGTACGAAAGGGGTTAACGTCGCCTCTCCCTTGCTCCTTAGGTGTCAAAAAACGGAAGCCAGCCCTCGGCATTTCAGAGGAAGACCAGCTCTGTAGCAAAAAGCAAAAGACGGGCAATACTGCAGGTAGAGCATTTCTGCATCGGTTAAAATAACATGTTCGGAGGGTGGTTGGTTGGTTGGGTTTTTTTTTGTATCCCGTGAATTGAACCTAGGCTCACTTTTTTTAAAGACTTCCACAAATCTGAGCATGAAATAGAGGAGGAGAAAGCGCTGCTTTGGTCGGTGCAGAATTTGTGCCTACATTTGTACGCTTTGTCATTTAGCGGGTAAGGAAATGGGGGGGGGGAGGGAAATGGCTAGGAAATTTGCTTGGTAAGGGTCAGCTAAAACGGTGTTGTGTTCTAAGGCTGGGAAATAGTGGCTGGCTTTGGAAGAGGTTTCTGCTGTGTGTCTCAGATTTTGCGTTAGGGCTATCTCTCAGGCTGAGTTTTTTTCTGAGAAAAGAAACCAGCTCCAGTTTATTGTTGACATGTGATGTCCTGATGGTCAGAAACGCCTTGTGTCTGGGAGCTCCCACTCAGAAACTACTCATTTACTAATAGTTGGAAAAAAAACAGTAGAAACTGGTTAGTTCTTATAAATTAGATCAATAATTATTAGTTCAATTAGTTCAATAAATAATGAACAAAAAAATCAGCAAAAGGAGCCGTGTAGGTGTTCGTTTACGGGTGCCCGCAGCCACCAGAGGAAGAGCTTCAGTCCCTCAGACCCTCGGTTTTATGTGGAAGCGGTGACACGGAGAAGGACAGCGGCTCAGTCTGTGTAAGAGCACGGGCTGACGCTCCCGAGCCGTATTAATTAAAAGGAAAATGAGCATCACCTTTCTGGAGCAGGTGTCGGTTTTGAGAGCAAGTGGCATCTGAACTTGCCAGGAGGCAGAGAGTGCTTGGCGTGGCCTTAACGTCACACGTCTCATCATCTCTGGGTGCTTTGCAACCTGATGTACCGAGGAAGGTTCTTCTGATGGATGTAGAGCTGCTTATAAATGAGGAAAACCCCTTTTACAGCGGCCAGCATGCAATCAGATGTTGTCATCTTCGTCAGCTAGGCTCCTTAGTCCTTCAGGTGCTTTTCTCCAGCACTTGGCTCTGACCTTGCTGGATAGTCTGCATGATAAGCTCGCCTTCGTTGTATGTCCCGTGGCTGCGTGCAGAACTAATAGTGCACTTTAGTTACGAGTTTAATGAGAAGCACGAGGTTAAATCTGACTTTTGTTCTGTCTCTTTTCAGATGGAATTGAAACAAAAAACTTAACTGATAAACAGCTGCTGGCGATCGCAAAGTTGTTTGATAGGCAGTGGAGAGAAATTGCCATTGAGTGTCTTCAGATGAAAATGAAAGACATTGAGCAGATCCAGGCAACAGAGAAAGATGTGAATATGCAAAAATTTCTGGTGTTAAGCAAGTGGAGAGAGAGAGAACAAAGCAACGGAACTGCCGAGGCTTTGTACAGAAGCCTTCATGAAAAGGTGTCCTACGAGATACTGCAAGCCCTAGAAGGTATCGCCTTCCCGTTCTTGGGTTGCATCACTGTGTTTCAGATGTATTTTAGGAATTTGCATCAGAGGGTTTACCGGATACCTAATAGGTGTTTTACTACGTAGGTCAAAATTGTCTCCCTTCTGATATTAGCAATGACTTGCTTTCTTGTGGCATTTTTATACTTCCCTTCAGAAACTGATATAAAGGGAATAATATTTTTGCACTGACTGTGTCGAGAGCACTCTCAGCATGACCCGGCCATCACGGCCGAGCTAATCCGTGTTACACACCCAAGACAATTCTTGGTCTTCTCTGGAAGTCCAAAGAAGAGACGTTTGGGTCTTTTCTGTATTTTAGGAACATTAACTAACGCCTTCCCCTGATGGATGGCTTAGGGGTTCGGGCCTGCAGACCCCTGCCTGTGTATGTATTCCCTTACTGCCCCTGGGGCCTCCTGCTCGTTTCTGGGGGACCTTCGGTTCGCCTTCTGCAAACCAGGGCTGTTCTGTGAGCTGAGGACTCAGCCAGCTGAGGGCAACTTCTCTCAAAACCAAAATATATATATATATATATTTTTTTTTCCATAACAGGCAAAACTTTGTTCTTTCTTAATTCTCCCTAAAAGCAACCTGTCTGCAAAGGGTGGAGAGCGGCTCGTGCTCCCTCGCTCCGCTGACCCTCGCAAACCCGTCTGCGCCGTAGCCTTGTGCTGTCTCCTCGGTTTTTAACGCATTTCGCCTTCGGCTTGAATATCGCAGTGACTTCTAGAGACCAGATAATCCGTGGGTGTTTGTGCCTGTTCCTTTCCCCAGGTTTCTCGGCTCAGTGCTGAGCAGGCGAAGCCGCAGCCAGGAGCGCGGTGGGAGCTGCCCCAGCCAGCCCTTACGCCGCCCCGGGATCCCGCTGAGGTGCGGGAAGGAAGATGCGAAGCCTCGTCCCTCAGCGGAAAGGTGAAGCGGGATCTTCACCAGACATGGGAATGAAATTTGGCACCGCCCTACGCCCACGTGAGGCTTTCGGGGGGCGATTACTCATGCGGTGGATCCCGGCATCGCAGCCGGCAGTGCCGGGCTTCACGTACGGGGAAGCCCAACACCCAGCTTTGTCTCGTTTGAGCCAGTCCTGTGTGACAGGAGCGCTGGAAGAAACCAGTTTACCTTGCTTCAGGTATATGGTGGTTATCTGGAAACATTTTTATTTATAAAGAGAGGGAGAAAAGTTACGCAGAAACTTTCGTCCCCTTTAAAAAAAACACTGAACTGCCGAAATCATGAGGTACATCGTATTTCTCACAGATGCCCAAGATCAGGGAAGAAAAATCCTAAACTTGCAGGTAAATTCCTTTGCATAATCACTGTATAGACACCCCATCACTGTATATACGCACAGTCCCTGTATATACCCCTGTACATTCAGTCCTTGTTAAGCTGTGGTTCTGTTTTCTAGAAACCCAAAGACTGGTTTCATGGGAGCACCACTATTAACTCCAGGCAGCTTTGAATTTTCCCGGGGAATTTCTTGTTGACTCTTTTCTGTATAGTCTTGTCTCAATTTTTATGAGATAATTTTTTATGTTGTACGATTTTTTTTTTACTATGAACTTTTTATACTTTTTTTTTTTTTTTACTTGATTCATTTTCATTTGAATAGAATTAGGTGCTTAAGCTAAAACGGGAGAAGGCAAAATCTCCGCGAAGGCTGTTACTCTGTCAGCAATGCAGATTTGGAAATAGGAGAAGATTCGGAGATGATGTTATTTGCAGAAGAGAGCGGTGACCCAATACGGGAGATTGTCTTGTTTTTAAAGACACAGGATTCTTTTGATCATCTTCCTCTGCGTATGTTTATGAAAGAAAAGGCATACTTTTTAAAAATAAGGATTAAAAAGGCAACATTTACACTATTTAGGTATGAATTTTGATATTTTTTTTTTGCTATCGGATGGAGCCTTGCAAGGTTGTGGTATGTGGTGGGCCATCTTTCCAACCCTTGATGCTGCACTGCTGTGTACCTCCCAGGGGGGCTGAGGAAAAGGGCTGTGCTGGTGCCCAGGACCTCATGGGCTCTTCTGCCCATGGGGCTTTTAGGGGGGAAAAAAAGCTGTGGGAGGCCGGGAGGCTGGTGTGGGGCTCCATCCCAGGCAGAGCTGCCCTTGGCTCTTCTCTTTGGGACAAGTTGGGGGAAATTGCCATCAGGGGGACCTTTAAGATACCTGATAGAAACCAAAGCTCTGATAGGACCCTCTGGTCAGAAGCAGAAATCAGTAAATGTAAGCTGGAAATAAGATGCTTACTTATAATAACGAGGGTAACTGGAGAGCGTAGCAGGTGGTGAAAAGAGGTGATAAGGTCTTCAGCCTTCAGGTCCTTTAAATCAAAATAAAGAACCTTTTTTTTTTAGAAAAACATGTGTTGGATTTTGGTGGTCTTTAGGTTGGCTTTGCCCAGTTCTTGCAGACAGAAGGAATGAAAACCTCACAGTCATGTAAGGTTTCACCAGGGCGCCGAGGCATGAGGTTGCTCTTGCCTTACGGCTCGGTCTACGCTGCAGGGGTGGTCTGTGGGCGTTCAGGCGGTGGGAGTTGAGAAGGTTACGTGTTGGGGGCCGGTGTGGGGTGCAGGCAACACCAACGCTGAGGGAAAAGCGGAGAGGATGAGGGTGGCAGCTGGCCCCTCGGCGTCTGGAAGAGCAGGGGGGTCCTAACAGCCCCTCGGCATCAAAGGGGGCTGCTTGGGGGGGTCCCCAAAGAGATGGGAGGGCAGAGCTTGGAGAAAGGGGAGAGAGCTGAAGAGCAAGGTGCTGACGGGGTGATGGGCAGCGTGGGAGCATGGCCAAAGGCACGGCTCGGCCGAGAGCAGACCCAGCGAAGGGGATGGATGCCTTCGCCTGCGGGCAGGAATTGGGAGTATAATTGTCCCTACATCCCTCCAGGCCTTCAAAACTGCAACATAAATCCTTGCCTCGCTGAGATGAACAATTTAGCCATTGATTTTGGTGGGATTTCACCCTGGAAACTATGTACCCGGGTGGAAAATCACTGTAAATGAGGATGAAACCAAGTGAATTGCTGTGAGTGCTCAGCCTGAGAGAAAAGCCACAAGAAACACGTCTGATGTAAGTAAGAAAGCAGAAACAGGATTTTAAAATATGCTACCAGTGCTGAATGTTGCTGTGGTATACCTTTACATGCCAGAAATACTCAAAGTATTTAAAAAGTGTTCATGTTATATCTCGAGGAAGAAAAAAACCGCCGTAATTTTTATGCAAAATTTAATTTTATTAGGCAATAAATAGAATAAATAAGGAATATCATCATAAATAAACTGCTTACTATAAATATGTTTCAGTTTCTGAAAATTACAGCTGAATAAATAAAATAGTGAAGACAAATTGCAGTTGAGTGTTCGGTGGTTTGAGAACATTCTGGTACTACGGTGTAGCTTATTTTCTAGAAATCTAGAAGTTTAACCTGATAGCTTAAAAGGCACTGACAAGAGCTCGCCAAAACATGATTTATAAGAAACTCTGAAATATCCCTTGCTAGATTCCTTAAAAACCCCCAACCACCTCGCAGGTTATCGATGCTGCTATTTTTTTTTTCTCCAAAACACTTTTAGGTCAAGTTTCTAGCCCCGGGGGCTGGAGGGCTGGGCCTTACAGGGAGCTCTCGGGAGAGGTCAGGTAGTTCATCATCCTGTTGATGGTGACCGTGCGGATTCGGAAGGCGTGAAGGACGCTGCAGAGCCTCATCCTCTCCTTGAAGGAGGTCAGCCCCGCGCCCGCCGCCGGCTGCGGCGCGCTGCTGCCGCCGGTCCTCAGGGCCTGCCAAGAGAGAGGGGCGTTAAAGGCTGTCTCCAGAACGTGGCTGAAACGAAAACCTCTTTAAATTTGTCACCCCCTGAGTGATAAATGACAATATTTAGAACTAAGGATAGTGTCATAAATGAAAATTGTAAATATTTAATGATATAATTAGTAGACTTAGGATAAAATTTGAAATATTTAGTGATGTAATTAATAGACTTAGGGTGCACAGCTGTACTTCCCTTGAGACAAAAATGTCCATTCATGCACAAAGGCTCTTTCTGCCCAGGAATAAAGAGGCTTTTTTAATAATAAGCCTACAGCCGGCTTTCTCTAGTGACCCCTCAGACTGGGCTCATCTGCCCATGGCCAGAATCTCCAGGGAGATGCTGTGTCAATTTATTTTAATTAGCTTTTATTAAACAATCCAACCCCCCCTCTACTCACTGGTAATACTTATCAAAGTTCAGTGCATCCTATGTCATACTCAGTGTACCAGGTGTATTACTTGTCAGTATTTGGAAGGGAAATTTATGTCCCTTGCACATGATCTTCTACTTAATTTTTGAGTTCTCAAAGGCACTGGCAGAGAATCCTGTACCCCAGCTCCTTGCCAGAGCGGAGCAGCGTGGAAGAAGGAGGCCTGCTAAGGAGCCATACATCCGAGTCCTGATGTGCTGGCCATATCAGCAAGGCAAAAATACAAAGTGGGACACATGATTCGTAAGAATCAAGGCCCTTCTAGGAAAACCAGTAACAGAGAATTCCTTGAATTACCAGATTAAGGAAAGATCACCATTTGACAGACTATGGAATGGAGCAAACTGGATTGAAAACTCTGGTTTAAACCAGAAATAGTAGGAAGGAACAACTACTTACTTTCATCATTTCATCAATAGTTGCCAGCAGCTTTTGATCACTGAAGTTCGTCAGCTCTGCCCTGTAGGCACTCAGATCCTCGTAGATGCCCTGCAGGCATTGGCTCTGCAAAAGTCAGAATTATTAGGAAATGCAGGAGGCTGTTGTTAGATGCTTTAAACTTGCACCAAGCAAAAGAAGGGGTTCTTTTGGGAAACTTGCAATTTACCGTATCAAAAGCAGATCTTTCCAGTGCAGGACAGTTTCCAGTCTGCAAATTAAAGAAGAAATGAGACATGGTGATTTTGTGGAAGTGTGAATTACATGGCTGTTCCATGAAAATACGATGCTGAAACTTGAGATTTTTTTTTTTCTTCTTACCCTTGGATCTTCAGATGTGCAAGCTTTTATCGTGTTGATTTGATCCTCAGTGATATCTTCAAGATCAACCTCTTCAAGGGTACATTCAAACCCCAGGGTGCCAAGCTCCTGTGTCAAAAAGGGAAGGAAAAAGTCATTGACTCATCTTCACGGTACTGCAAATGTATCTGTAAATACACACAGTTATATGCGATGCACCACAGCTGCCTGCGCTCAGCCGCATCCTCGGAATGAGGCTGTGTGAGGACTATGGTTAAATACAAAAGCTAACAAATAGATTGAGAGACTGAAATGCATGTGGCAGTTGTGTTTAATGGGAATAAGCTCAGGCTTTGCACAGATTTGTTTTACACGGTGCGACTTGCACTGCCTCCGTTACTTTAAATTATTCTCTCAGACATCAAACCTATTGAGAACTTTATGTCGCTATAGTTTCAAACATAAAGGGTCTCTTAGAAAGTGAAAAATAACTAATGCCATCTGCATAGATGTTTAACAGTGCTCACTGCAAGAGTGGGAACAATGCACCTATTTAGTGGTGGGGTTTTGGCGGTTCTCTGAGGTGAAGCTTGCAACAATAGCGGGGAATTTTAGCCAGAAAAAAAAAAAAAAAAAATCCCCTTGGCACTACTGCCAGGAGGCTTTAGCATGGAAAAGCGCTACAGCACCGAACCAACACCACCAGTGGCAACACGCAAGCGTAACGACAAAGGCAGGAGTGAGTATTTCCTGAGCCGGCTCTGCAGCGGCCTTGGAGAGAATGTTGAACCCTGAGAGTGCTCAAACCAGTGGCTGGGGCACTGCTGGGGTGCGTGTTTCTGTGGGGCTGTGATGAGGGAGGGCTGAGAGAGTCACCTGAGCACATCCCCATCCTGAGGGGCTGGTCAGGGGAGATGGGAAAGCAAAGACCAGGTATAAATCTTAAAGGGAGTCTCTACAGTGAGCAGCCACCCTGCTGGGTACCCTCAGCAACCCGTCACTGCCCGAGCTGGGAACTGCCACCGCCTGCCTGGGTATGAGCACTGCCCCACCACTGCCAGCTGGTGTATCACCACCACCCCATCACCACCCACCTGGGTACCACCACCACCCGCCTGGGTATGAGCACTGCCCCACCACTGCCGGTCTGGGTACCACCACTGCCCCATCACCTCCTG